GCCTTTAAGGGCCTCTGTTCGGGGGGCGAGGGATCAGTACAATTCGTCAACAGCAGGTTGAGGTCTCGCCAGAAGATGCCCTTGCTGCAGAGGAGCAAAGCAATACTACTTTCAGTAATTTAAACATGTTAAATACTTGTATTTCGCTCATCAAATGTGTCCATTGTCCATTTTCGATTTGTGGTTTTTCAGGAATGTTCTTTTGCGGAGCATTAGCCAATTTTCTTTAAACAGTTTTACTCGTTTCCATTTCCCTGCTCTACCCTCATGTTGCATATGGCGTACGTGTGTACCTAAATCCCTCAATTCATACTGAGGTGATCGATAAAGAAGTCTATACGCTACGCGGGGTTAAGATTAGTTTATTACAAGCAAAGGCGCAGAAGGCTAAGTGCAAATAAAAAAAACTAGTGTGAAAAGTTTTGCAGACTCGGCTTACTCTATTTGTTTTCTTTCTCTATTTGAGTTTCGGCTGGTGACATCCTAAAATCAAGTTTAGTTCCACATGTTTTGGGAATATAAAATATAAAACTAAAAAAAAAAACAGTGTTAATTGTACACTCGTGCGATGATTTATCCTTGTCTGTGCAGTTGCGTGACCAGACTCAAATTACACACGGGCTTTCATCACGCATCACGGCGTTTAGTCTGAGGCTAAACGACGGAAGATTTCAGTAAACTGCGACCACTTGCGGTTGAAACGACTGTGGTAAGTAATTATTAGAGATCTCGAATCCTATTTAGAGCTAGCACGCCGTTTCTAGCGGCTTTATTTTAGGTGCAGAAACTCGAAGTTAATATTTACACTCCATGAGAACTTAACAGCGTTGTCTTTTTCAGCTACTTGCGTGCAATTAAATGCTTTGTTAATCTACTTAGTCCTTTTTTATAACCATCAAATTGAAAAGCGTTTTTCAAAAGATTTTTAGAGCTTCCCGTAATGTGCCCCTTGTAAAAGAAGCTAAGTTAGCAAAAACATTTTTGTGCCTACATTCGCGGCTAGCTTGTTTTCAGCGTTCCAACGTGCGAAACTACGCTGCACGTTTCGGTGTCTCAGCGACGCACTTTTGTAATGCCGCCAAAATTTTTTTAACACAAGAAACAGAAAAGAATATGCTTTAAAATAGTGTTTGTTTCATGTTGAAATTCCATGTATCAGTTGTTTTTCTCGATGGTGAAGTTAGGTCAAATTTGCCATTTTTGAAAAGAGCCGAAATCGTGTTTCTTCTTGCGGCCAACACAGTCACATTTAAACAGCTTATCTAAAGATAATTGCAGAATTATAAAGTACAAGTCTGTGTTTTCCTTGTGACTTGATTTCATTTAGAGATGTCATCCCGTTTTTATGTACAAGCACGAAGAAAATGCTTAATTTTCGCTAATTTCATACTCGAAAGAGCGCCGATTTGGCGTTTTGCAAACTTTGCCCGATTCAGGAAAAAATAAAAAGCCGTTACAAGTTTTAATGCGATTTTTGAAATAAGTGTACTATAGAGATTATGTGGGCAAAATATGAAGAAATTCAAAAATTCACGACTGTCAACCGATTCTCGAAAATTACAGACATTGGCTCTTAATACCTTAAATGTTTAAATGCTGCCCAATTTTCAATGATGGGACTTGCGCGTTTGAAGAAATGGGTTTCTAGTATGCGCCCAAATTTTACAAGTCATGACATGTAGGTCTTAAATGAGGAGAGTCCCCATCAAAATACAAGCTACCTTCCCTAATAACTCGTGGATTAACTCATGGTTACGCACAATGTACATTTACAAACTTGTGCCTTGATCCATCCGTCAATCACCAACCTAGCATCTGCTCGTCCGATCACGTTCAGCTTTTTACAAAGATATTCTATAGAACGTGAGGAACAACGATTTAGAATAGTTTCTGTGGGATTCTTCAGTGATTTAAAATACAATATCTCATCCATATTAAATCCCATTTCGTCAGCAAGATCTTTGAAGTCTCCTCCTAATTCGCGTGGGGGGTCTAGCTTGACAACCAAGGCTCCCAAAACCTTATAGGGTAGATTGGAAATAAATTTCTTTCGTATGCAATCATCTGGCACCGGTAGAGGGTTTCTTGAACCTGGTGAGCATAATAATGATGATGATGATGATAAGAAGTAGAAGAAGGACCTCTAGGAGACATGCACGATTTTTAAAAGCATCAAAGTATATGCATCAGGGTAAAACAAAATGCTGAGCTTTTTTTTGCAATTTGTAAGGCTACCCTCACGAAAACAGTGATTAAATCAAAATTTGTAGTAGGTAAATTTGTTATAAAAATTGGTGCCAGTCTTAACAACATTCACATTAATTTTTTTAACTTGAGGGTTTGCTTGCTGAATATGTGATCTTCTGTATTTGGCCAGGAACACAGATCAAGCTAGTCACGTCATACTGTCATGCAATATTTGGGCAGAAGGGAGATACGGGGGAAAGGGGATTTGTTGTGGAAATGTCCCTAATTTATACTTCCCAAAATATTAAAAGTTATTCTGATTTTTAAAAATCCGTGCTTTTTTTTAACATCATTGTAGATTGGATTCCCTTTTTTACCAATGTATTCACTTTCGTTTTTACATCTCTCAATTTTTTAAATCCCTAGAATTTTTAAGAACCTTTTATTATAATTCCCAAAACAAGCCCCAGGGCTTATATTTTTCAAAGGCCCTTTTTGAGGGGCTTATTTTTGGACGGGCTTATATTCGGAGGGGGCTTCGATTGGGCTAGCCTTATAGTTGGAAGTAAATTTACCGTTTTTGCTTTGTTTTGCTTTATATTTGAGGGCAATTTTCCAAGTACAAGCCCCCGGGGGGCTTATATTTGGAGGGGCGAATTATCGGAGGGTTTTTTGCGTTACTGGATTGGGGGGCTTATATTTGGAGGGGCTTATTTTCGGAATTTTACGGTACTTTTTATAGTAATTGGTATCAGCCTCTTAAAATAAAGGTTATTATTATTATTATTATTGAACCACTGCATTGTGCAGTCAGCAGCCCAATGAACCCCCTCTATGGGAGTCTTGTTTGTGACATTTATTGGTGTGTTAAAATGCATGGAACAGAATAAGGCAAAATGTTATCAACCTGCCAAAAATTTCCTTCTCCCTCAAATACACACTTAAATTACAAGGAAAAGACAAATGATGAAGAAAACACTTACAAACCTATTGCGCTGTCATTCATGTTTTCAACACTCCTTACTCCATCATCATCAAGCTTACTTGCACTTTCTGTTGGATTGCAGACTTGTAATGTCTCCATTTTTTCATTAAGTTGCTGAATGTCTTCTCCCCCAAGAGGAACAGATGCACCTAACATTAACACAGAACGTATAATCTTAACAAGGGTAAACGCGAACTGGACTGTGATAATTGACCTGTTAGTGGTATTAAAAGTTGCAAGGGAAAGTAAAAGAAACTGCTATCTGTTATCCACCCGTCTGTGCACCTTTTTGCTTCTCACAATATGGAGGATTGACTGCCATTAAAATCTTCTCGTGAAGTACTCAGTAAAAGTTAATGGCAGTCCACGGGCGTGGGGTACCTTAGATAAAAGCAGCCATGTTTATAAGGTCCAATGAGTTGCTCTCAAACTTGGGCATTCACTTATCAGAATGACCAGTATTGCATGACCTATCTGGTAACCTCACCTTCTCCTCTGCAGAGGCTCATGCTGCACTGCTTGTGACACATGCCCTCTGCAAAGAAGAGAGGCAGGTGCACAACCAAGGTCACCTTGATTTAATTAAGATATCTGCCCGATGACCAGTTGATTGTTTGTTATTAGAACTTGTCCTTTTGTTTTGCATTAGTTTGTATGGTTTGTCCCAACCCACCCCTTTCATGGCTTTATTTCTGTTACAAATGTACTAGTGAGAATGACCTCAAGCTTGTTCCCAGGGTTCTCTACACTTCCCATCTCTTGCTTGTGCGCTCTGTAGGGACAGGTGAACGAGGTTAGAGATGACCTAAGAACTTTCATCTATTTTTATCTGCTTTCTCCTAAATCGCATTTACACTAATAAGTGCTTATAAATAATGCTTATCTCCTTTGTCACTCATAATTTTAATCACAAACTGTTCACAGTAATACCTCCTTGGGACTCTCTGATATCTTGAATGCAGTACTTTTGAGTAATTAAACCCTTGCCTACCGCTGTGTGGCTTAATGCTTGGGCAAGCCACTCATATGTTGCCAGCTGAGATGAACTTCTCTGCGTCCAGGAACGTAGCATTGTGTGAGAACATTCAAAGAGACTCCCATTATTTTCTTTAATATCATCAAGGTCAGTATCCTCCAGCCCAAGCAAGCGTCCAACCCATATCCACTTAGCACCAAGCTCATTTGAAATTGCCACTATATCGGTGTCTGACACCTTCCCCGTCCTCAAATGACCCTTCTCTAAGATTTCTAAGATTGTAAAGCAAAAGTAGATGAACAGTTCTGATATCTGTGTAGGAGGCCTCAAAAGGAGAGGGGGAGGGAGGGAGGGAAAAAGAAAGAGAGGATTGGGGAGGGAAGGAAAGAGGACTGCCACCCTTTCCCTTTCACTTTCCCTTTCTTGCTTTTCTCCCCCTTTCCTCCCCTTTTTCGCACCTGCCTTGCAGGCTACACTTCCCAGAAAAAAGGCAACAGTAATAAAAAAATAATGAAAGTGTGTAGGGTCATTTCCCAAAAGTGACTATTATCTCCTCCTACCCACCAACTTAATGCACCCACAGCCCTAGTTTGTGTGAAAACTACTTGGCTTTGGGGTCACTCAATTTAGTGTCCTGCCATCCAACTGTAGTTCCAGGAATGTAATTCTGATATCACCAAATTAAAATAATAAAAAAGACAACAGAAAATTTTACATTAGTTTATGAGACAAGAATGGCATTTCAGACATACTTATAGACGAAACATATGAGAAATCCTAAAGAATAAACAAACAAGAAAGAACCAAAATAAACTTCAATTATTAGCTGAATAAGTCCCATGTATTGTAAATAAGTTCGAAGTATAATCAATATGAAAATAAAAATAAGCAGTAGATGGTTGAAGATTGTGATTCAGGTTCTTAGAGAATGTTTGTTATAATCATTATAACTAACAATTTTATCGTGAATGAGGCTGGGCATGCATATTGAGGAGGATGTTAATATCCAATCGGTTACATATAATAATTCTTCATCATGCTCCGCCTCATGTACATGGAGGACATTCATCAGACAGACGTTTATTTACGAGTAAAATATCTAACGATTACCTGTTTTAGAGGTGCTTTGGTTTCTTCCTTCACAATATTTTTCCGCTAAATCAGTACGTAACAGTGTTCCTGATCTAAACGATTTTCCCAGCTCTTGATAATTTGCCCTGGATCCATTTTTTTGCTTCCAAACTTGTAGAATTCTGTATGACTGTTCAAACACATTCTTCCTGTAATCTTGATCAATTTGCTCAACTTCCTTTGACAGGCCATTTACGTAACCGAACTTTTTCCAATCACGACACAAATCACAAGCAATGTCGATCATACATCGAGTGGAGACAGACTCCATTCTATTCCAACACTCCGTTTTATGGCGACCACTTCCGGCTTTTCGCTAAATGGCGTCCTTGGTAGGGTTACCCATACATGACGTATCTATTAGGAAAACATGGCGGTCGATGTACATGTGGTGCTAACGAAGCACATCCAAGATGCCATTTTAGAAGCTATTAGACGCAACTCAGTTCCACAGGATCTCGAGAAACAATTATCAAAATATACGAAGGACTTTACAGAAGCGAAAGAATTAGATAAAAGGGAGAAAAAAGTGGCCATTCCGTTCAAGTTAGTCAAACAACTTTGGGAATGTCTTCGAGGGAATACCGGTAGGTTCTTAACTGTGATCTATTCAAGTTTCACTTGAAACCCTCATGTACGTCATAAACAAAGTTTTATGAACCTCTGTCCAGGAATCAATTGATTAAAACGTACAATTTAGGAATTATTTTTATTGCAGGCGTTTAGTTAAATTTTTGTACTCTCTACGGAACGATCGATCTACTGCAAAAGTCAGCTCTTACTCCTCCTCAGCCCCCAGTACCCTTGAGGGTGGCACGTTTCTGCAAGGCGCAATCTTGTAGCCGTTTTTTTTAACTTTTCTTTTAAAAATGGTAAGTGAAAGGACTGAGGGGTCAAATCACTCTCATCCCTCATTCCAAAGGTGTCATTCCCCCTTCTTAGCAAATTTACCCGTTTTAACACATAGCGCACAGTTTAAAGTTTGCCTTCAAAACCCAATATAGGAAAGCCACATTCCCAATGCTGTCTTAAGGTTAGCTAGAACGTTCCTAGGCTTATCTTTAAATTTATCCAACCATCTTTCTAGATAAAGATTCAAAACTATACTTGCATGAGCTGCTGGCAGGAAGTGAAGTTTATGTTGAACCTTTAAAGTTACCAGAAAAGGTATGTTTAAAAGATTTATCTAGTTATTGTACTGTGAAGTTATGCCATACCCAGCATCAATTTTCTCCAAACAATATGTAATTGAGAGAAAAGATTATGCAAATTAATGAAATGATCATGAAACAGAAAGTGCATTGATCTTAACACATATCCTCTCAAGTAAATCTTTGCGGCAAGGAAATGTATAGAGATCAGTCCAGAGAAGTCTACAGTGGAAAAGGAATGCTCAATTTTTCTGGTACCACATTCATACATGTAGCAGAGCTCGAAAATTTATGATCATCAACAAGGAGGAACAGAAAATAAAACAAATTCACATCTGGAACCTCTTGGCTACAAGATTGATTTATGTCAGTAGTATGGAAAGGCCAAAATGCAAACCCCTCTCTTGTGAAATGTCCCAAGCGATGGGGAGTATTGAGAGGCAGCTATAAAATAAATAAATAAATTAATAATTCTTTTACTTATCCTCTGCAGTATTTAAACCACTTATGCTAGTGGGGCCGAGCAAATGTATGAAACAAATAACTTAATTAAAACATAACAGGGTTAAGAATCCCAGCTGGCAGGAGGCAAACCAGCTGGCTAGTTACAAGCGTGGCTGAAGATTTGATCTCGGGACTCCCGTGAACAAATCCAGATAGCAGTCAGAGCAGGACTTGAACTCGGGGCCTCTGAATTAAAAGTCCAAGGCTCTAACCACTCAGCCATGCTGCATCCTGATACTGTATGTGAGGACTGATATTTCTGATTTATGACTTGCATTTCCACTAACAACCTGCAGTTTTATTTTGTTAAATTGCTTAGCCTTGTCCTCAAAACAGTATGACAAGTGAAAATGAAGAAAGAATCATCGCAGTGAACGCAATTTATGCAATTACATAAAGAAATCTGAAAAAAATTCATGACTTCAACGGGGTTTGAACCCATGACAGTTGGTCACAGGTTCAAACCCCATTGAAGTCCTGAATTTTTTTCAGGCTTCTTTACGCAATTGCATAAATTGCATTCACTGTGACAATCATTTCTTCATTTTCATTTCATTTCCACAGTTCATATATGATTTATTTCATATATCATTAACACAGTATGACAAGTCTAAAACACCGGTCACATTCTTCAATCAGTCAGAGTACATTCTATATATTCAGTAAATAAGACCAAAAGTGTGACCATCATCAGATCATCACCCAAAAGTGCTTTTTTTAGAAACTGTTTTATTTAGTTTTTCAGGTCCCCTGGTTTTATACATGTACGATGGTGCAATTTTGCTCAGTTTAGGTTAAATTACATCCAGTCACAATAATCCATAAGAAATCTTATGAAATATAAGACAAAACGCAGGCAAATGTAAATCTGGATTATTTTTATAGTCATCCCTTTATCTTGATGCCATTTCTTTTGTTTTATACCCCTCAACTTTGGAGCCAAGTATGAATTTTTATATTTCGGAATAAGCTTATTGTTATTAACAGTAATATATGCCACTGACTTTTCATTGATTTATTTTATCATTGCATAATTATAATTTTTACTTTGTATTAGAGTCCAGAACTTATAGCTCGTCTGAAAAAGCTAAAAGCAGAGCAAGAAAGGGCAGAGTATTACAGGATGGTTTCAAATGTTGATAGAAAGGTGAAAATGCTGTGTTTCAGTCTTTTTTTGTTTTCAATTTGTATCAGGTAGCTACCAGTGTATTTGTTTTAAAATGAGAACTGAACTTCACCTCTTTGCTTTTACCTTCACCTACATGTATCCTTTTCATATGACAAGACACATAAGGCTAATTATCCATACTCCCCAGCCAAGACCTATCCAAAGCTGCTGAACTGATTGCTGGGATGTGTAGCTCTCCCCAGTTATTCCATCTCTCTCTGTCCCTTCTCTCTGTCTGCCATCATTCTCCATTTCCTCTTGAGTCTGCCTGTTCTTGTAAGCTGAACTGTTGTTATTCTCTGCCTCCAAATGGCATCATGCTCTGCTTACCCACATGAGCAAGTGTAGGCGAGGTATTGGACAGTCAAGTGGTTCTAAGAGGTTTTTCTTATTACCTAAGGTGGCTCAATTGTTTTTCAGGGTCAGTACCTCCCAAGTTTGAACTACATCGCCATTAACAAAGATTTGGAAAAATTACCACCATAGCTGTACAGTGTATTAGATAAAGATGAAAATTTGTCATGATCAGGGTTATGACATCGGAGTTGTCATAGCAATGAAGTGATGCCATTACCTATTTTATTTGCAGCTGTATTTCTCAACACTGGGAACTAATCTTCCAAATTGTTCATGGGAACTTTTTCTTCCAATAGCTGTCTCGACGTTCGTGAAGTTTAAGTAAGCGAAATCTGTAAGGGCGTTATTGAGATATTTTGGGATAAAATTTTTATGGTTTATAGTAAATGTGCTAAAAACTGGACAATATTGATGTTTGGTTGTTGTCTGCAGGAAACGAAGTGTTTGTGAAATGCAATTATTTCACCTCACAGTTGTTTTATTCTTTTTAAAGACACGTGAAAGATCTTGGAGATAGCTCTCAGCCTCTGGCCGATTGCTAGAAAGAAGCTGGATTTGGTTAGTGTGTATCAAGGCACTCTTGTTGGGGGTTTTGTAAACGTTTTGGTCTACTTTAACAAATAAGCAAATCATTTTTAAACTGCTCAATAGATTGAGATTCTCAAGATTAACTTTCATTTTCTTTTTTATCAGAAATTTTGTGTTTACAGGTGAGAGCTTTTCATTATTCAGGGTATGGTCTCCAAGTTCTATATTTTTGTGGACAACAATAGCGAACATTTCTGCATATATTGTTATTTACTGCTGCTCACGTGAAAATGAAACTTTCAAATTTTCAACTTTATCTAATACAGCTGCAGTGGTAATTTTTCCAAATCTTTGTTAATTGTGACATAGTTTATGCTAAAAAAAAAAACAACAACAACCTATCAAGCCACCTTAAGGTTTCTGAAATTTGGTCAGATGGGAGGGTGCAGGTGATTGGTGCACCACCTACAGCACTGTAACCTCCCTGCCCAGACCAGGTGGTTTTTCTTGTGTGGCAATTACAACTAAAAAAACATTTCTCTTATGAAAAAAAAACACATATAAACACATGACTGGTTGTTTTAATCAACAAAACATGTACAGTTGAAAACCATTAGTATAGGTAATAGCATGATTTGTCGTGATATTTGGCAGAAATACCACGAGTGATATTTC